GTAATGTCCTCGTTCGTTGATGCCGTTGGCCTTAGCGTTGTATGGAGATATTTGGATCTTTTGTACTCCCAATTCTTCAAGCAAGGGTGGGAACTCCTTCTTAAATTCGGGACCACCATCCACAACAGCCGCAGAAATCATGCCAAATCGGTAAATAAGGTTGGTTGCGAAGCGTTTTAGCGCCGCAGCCGAGATCTTTTTCAAGGGAATTGCTTCCACCCATCCTGTCATGTCGCACCTTGCTTCTGCTAGGTACTTGAATCCTTGGTCAAGGGGCATGTATTGGCAGTCGAAATGAACCTTGATCATAGGATCAAATGGTTGGGTGAACTGGACGGCTTCCAATGGCCTCCAAGGGGCGTGTACCTGACAAGTCGGACAGCACCGCACCGCTTCCGAGATCTGGCTCCACATGCCATTCCAGAAGTATCTCCTCTTCGTGAGGTTGTAGGTCACCTCTCTCCCTTTGTGGCCGCTATCGATGTGGTATGATTTGATCAACTTCCTCTGCGTTGGTAGATCATCGACCACTAGTAGGGGTGAGTCGTAGTCCCTTTTGGCTCGTTTCCAGAGTCGTCGCCCTTGGACAAAGAATGTAAGGGCTTTTCTCTTGAACCATTGCAATTGCGAGCGTGTTAGCCCCTCAGGTTTCTCGAACGTGCAGAGGTATTTGGCTATGTCCTTGTGCCCCTGCGAGTAGGTGCCATCTAAGACGCTGGGCTCGTTGTTGACGTGGACTGAGTTGAGATGGAGGTCAATGAAGTCCTCAATATCCCCTTCAACCTGGGCATCCATTTGATCAGATGGTCCCGCGTGTTTTCGTGATAACCCATCCGCCACGCGGTTCTTCTTTCCAGGTACATGTCTAACCGTGAAATCGAACAAAAGAAGGTAGCTGATCCATCTCAGAACTAGGGATCCGGGGACGTCGTCTGCCTTGCCGTTGATTTGGTGGACCAGCACTTGCGAATCGGTCTCGAGGACGAAGGGGATGCCGTATATCATGCCTCTGAGGCGGCGAAATGCGTAAAGGACTGCCCTGCATTCCCTCTTCGTTGCGTCGTACTTGGTCTCGGCTGGGTTCCACAATCCGGATTCGAATCGAATCGGCTTCCGTTTTCCATCGATCAACTGCATCAGAACGCCTCCCCAGCCCAGGAGGCTTGCGTCGACCATAAGGATCACCTCCCCAGCTTCTTCGGAGTAGTTGAGAGTAATAAGAATCGGCGGTGCCGTGATCTTCTTCTTCAACGTCTCCATGGCCTCTTTTTGGTCCGCTCCCCAGACAAACTCAGCGTCCTTCTTCAGTAGATCCGTCAAGGCTTTCGCAATCCACGCGAACCATTTGATCCATTGACGATAGTACCCAACGATGCCTAGGAAGGATCTTACTTCCCCTACATCAAGGCAAACCTTCCACTCCAAAATCTTCACAACTTTCTTTTCCTCCGGTTTCCTCCCGTAAGTTCCACAGAGGTATCCAGTCACTACCGCTGTCGTCCTGCAAAATTGAGACTTCTGGCCTGCAACTGTGCAACCGGATAGCTCAATGTTCACCAGCACCTTGTCGAGGTTGATCAAATGCTCTAGAACGAAACGGCGTATTCCTGGCGCTGCCTCCTCCCCGTCGTAGTCCGTCGTGGGTCCCCTGACGCAAATATCGTCTAGGAAGGATCGACATACGTCAGGAATGAGGTCTCTCAGGATTCGAAGAATGTTCCGGGTGAACTGGGCGACTGAATTCGTGGCTCCCTGCGGCAACGTGCACATCCTTAGTAGCCCAATTGGTGTCATGAAGCTAGTCAGGTCCCTGCTGACCTCTGCCAGCTCCATCTGATCATATCCTGAGAAGAAGTCCAGAAGTGATAGCATCTTGCACATGGCAAAGTCCGCAGAGAACTCGTCACAGCCCGGAGGAATGAGGCTATCCCTGATTGTGTGCTTGTTCATCAATGTGGCCGAATTGATCAATCGAAACTGACCATCCTTTTTCTGAACAAGAAAGAACGGGTTCCTGTAGGGGCCATGGCCTTCTTCGAGGATTCCTCTCTCCATCCGGGTTCTCAGAAGTTTGATGACTTCTTTCTCGCATCCCTTGGGAATAGGTATGCCTTTTGCTTGCCAGGCCTTGTGTTCGACCACCCTGATGACCTGTGGCGGTGCGACGAGTGGGTCGAGTTTCCCGCATTCTGAAAATTCCCATGCAAGTGCCGCCTCTCTATTGTACATAATCTCGAGGAATACGTCCAATTCTTCGCGTGTGAGGGTGCCATCCACTTGATCAATCAGTCCCTGGAGTCGCTCCTTGTAAATCCGGGTTCCTCGCTTGATATCTGAGAACTTTGGCGTGATCCAATCTCGGTACTTCGAATCTTCTTGAAGCTTCTCTTTCACTCTTTCCCACTTCTTGGCTTTCCACTCAGGGTCGCCCTCTGGGGTAGAGCCGTCCGATGGGACATCGTCCCTCGGGTGGATCTTGATACCCTTCCTTTTGTAAAGAGTGTTGACCAAAATCTCCTTCAACTTGCTCCGGTCGGGTGGGTCTTTTCCCTTCCGTATCTCATGTTTCTTTGTCGCCCATCTTTTGATCAAACGGTTCGCATCTTGAAGGGCCACGTGGTACTGCCTGATCGTCTCTGTTTTGACGATACCGATCACCTCCTCCCCCGACTCCCGACTCAACCACCGTAGTGACGTCGGGACGTCGTCAGGTCCCAAACCACTCTCCCAGTCAACCTCAGGTTTGGATAGAAGGTTGACGTTTATTTTAACGACATGCCATTGTCCATACCGTAGTTTGGCGCTTCCCATTTAATAGAGCCGGCAGCAGGGGTAACCACTCGTGTGCTGCCCAGTTGGCAACGAAGAAGCATAGAGCCATCCCTAGTCGAGTGATCAAATGATACCCTTGCCGAGCGGATGAATGGCATGCCGAGAATGAAGGGAATTGAGATCCCCTTGGAGGGCGCCACATACATCCTTTGCTGGATCCATACGTTTCCAAGGTATAGCCGGACGGTTGCTTGGCCGAGCATGGTGACCTTGTCTTGGGAAAAGGAGGTCGTAGAAGCCCTCGTAGTCGTAACCTTGAGGCCACACGCCCTCGCGAGTTCTTCCGAGATAATGTTCCCCTCAGAACCGGTGTCCACCATGGCCTCAATGACCTTGCCCTCCGCATTGTCGAGTCGGACTAGAATTCGGGGCAGCTCTTGTGACTGTGCAACAGCCTTGCCCTGACCTTCTAGCGACAGTTCGACGGTGTTGGTCATCTGATCAGTCGATTCGTCGTGCTTGGTGGTGGTCTCGCTCCCTCCTATGGCCTCTGCCTCATCCTGACGCACTTCCACAGTCCCGGTTTCCTCATCCTTTGTGCCTACATTGGTGGTGACAATGTAGTCGCCGAGTTGAAGATCCTTTGTGACTTCGTCGGTTCGCTCGATTCGAGGCTCGTCGTCAATGAGGATTGCGTTCACTCCGGCTCTCTCGCTGATCTCTGCCCAGTATGACTCCCCCCAGTCTTGTTCGCCGATCTGGATCGCGTTCATGCCCTGAGGCTTCTGATCAGATGATCCTCGCGTCTCTCCAGCAGTGTGCGGGGCGGGTTCGACGTAGGTGATCTGTTCGACGCTATCAGCAATGTCTTGACAATCTTCCGCCACCTCTCTTCCGAGTTGTGGCAGTAACGTAAAAAGCTTGTCAGCTGCAACTGAAATCTTCTTAGTTCGATACTCATCTCTTAGCTCTCGTAGGATAGAGGCCTGCTTCTCTTCAAGTGTCTGAAATCTCTCGTTCTTTTCCTTATTTGTCATAGGTGTTTTCTCTGTCGATATAGACCTCCGGATAGGCTGCGCCGCTTCTTGGGCTTCAGCGATGTCCTCAACGTGGACCCTCTTCCTTGCGTTGGCGTTGACAGCCACAGTGGTCGTAGTGATCGTCTGGAGTTCTCCGGCGCGATCAGAAGGCGTGGTTTCCTCATTGACTAAAATGACATTGGTGGAGGCTCCTGTCGGTGGGTTCTGGCTGTCCAGGATGTCCCGGTTTCCCTTTGTGACGTCCGTGGGCAATCGATCAAACCCTGCTGGGGACTTATACGCCGGTCGGTAGAGGTTCATGGCCTCAGGGTTCTTCCTGATCCAATCGTCGATCACAATATTCTCTTGTTGGGTCAGTTGGAAGTTGATTCCCGCGCGGTTGCATTGTTCCATCCTCCTGACCAAGGGAAACATATCCGATTTTGGGAAGCGGCTTAGCCAGTTGTGAACTAACTTGCGGATCCCAAACCTCCTAAAGGCGTAGACCAGGTTCGGCGGCAACATCTTGTCAGACCTTCCTAGGAGAGCCGCGCCACCTTGTGGGTCATAACTTGCGATCCCGTTGTTCTTATCGTAGGTAAGGTCTGCGCAGTTGCTTGGGAAGTGGTTTTTTCCGCTGCAATACCAGCATGCCATGTCGTTCTGGTAGCTGCCTCGCCCAGATCCGTACGCTGCAGTCGTGTAGAAGTTCTGGCTGTCGTGCATCTGATCAAGTGATACCGCGTTTGTCCTGAAAGCCTGGGGCGCTCCCGAGGCTGCCTGCCTATTGTGTTCTCTCTCGAGGATCTGAGCTAGTTGCAGTTGGGATTCTTGCCCCTTTGCCACATTGATTGCAAGTTGGCCAAGCTGCGCAGTCAACTGGTCGATCTTCGAGGTTGCTGCTTCGTCGGATTCCTTCTTGAGGATCTTTGGGGTCTTGGTTGTCTTCACGGAAGGGCTCGGGCTCCTAGGAGGAGTCGGGGCCCAGGTGACCCGGTGGGTATCCTCTTCGCTCCGGGGGCGATGAGTCTTCCGAATCTCGATCTTATTTTCGCAGTATCGTTTGATCATTTGGGTGAGCGCATGGTACTCCATAGCCGTGAGCTCGCGGACGTTCTTGTCGTGTCTTTCGCAAATGCCCTCAATGATCTCCTCAGGGAGTGCTTTGTAAACCGCTCTGGATTGGCTCTTGGATGTCTTCCAGTTGCCGTCGATCTGCCGGAAGAGGTATTGGTGCTCGTTCAGCCATTTGATGATAGCATGGAAGTCTGCCTTCAGACGGGTTTCGTTGAGTATTTCCAGTTTCTCCTCAATAGTCTCTGATTGATCAGAATCTTCATTCGCGAAGGCTTCCTTCAGGCTCTCTTGGGCAGCTTCCCAGTCAAGTCCATCCATGGCTTGTCGGGCCTCCCTCTTGATCTCCTGATCAGTGTATGACTCAAAGAGAGCCACTTTCTTATCCTCAGAGACATTCGTGAGTTCCGCCTGCTGGTTGAAGTTTCGGAGGTACTCAGTCACATCCTTTCCCTTAAAGAGGGGGAGGGGGTTAAGAGGGACAGCAAAAGAGGGACCATTTGATCCCTTGGTTAGGATCTCAAGAAGGAGTTTGTTGACCTCGTCATTGCCTTCGGCGGCCTTGTTGCCTCCTGTCTCTGGGTTCTGGCCTTGGATGTTGCTAGACCTCTTTCCGAGGTCAGCGCTTTTGTCGTTCTGGGCCATCTTTGCAGTTGGGGTGACAGT